GACTGCAGTAAGAATTGCCTTTCCTTATCGAATCTATTTCTTCTTCTGCACATTGGGCTGGTATTTCTAGCATTAGACGCTTGCTTATACATGCGTCTAACTGAGGACGCCAGCTTTTACCGACCTCGCCATTAAGACTTCTTCTAACAGATGTTTTGGAGTGAAACAGACCTACCACACAGAAAAGCTGAATGTTGACAACAGAGAGATAGAGATTTTACTGCCTGACAAACTCGAGCGAATTCATGTTGAAATCGGAAGTCTAACGGCGAAATATTGGAATCTTTGTGGGACACGTTATCGCTCTGTGCGTCATCGTATGAGCGCATGTCTGCTCGCTAGGATTGGGAGGTGCGGCCGTACAACTCTGTGTGCAGCGATCGTACAAACAGTGACCAATCATCAACCTCTGTTTGTTTAACCTAATCCCCCATTCTGATAATGAGTAGCTCCCTGCGTGTACACTTGATCCGCAATACCCGTACTGAATAAACGTGGTCTGTGCTACGCGTCTGTTTCCTTTATAGCTGGGCTATAGCTTAGCTGGTTCTGGGAGTCTAGCTAGATGTAGGAGGATCTGCCATAGAGATTTCTGAGTCAGTCAGGCTTTAATAAAGTAGCAATCCGCTACATCTTAAAGTTATTATCGGCTGCAATCTAACATTCACTGCTGCTAAATACGATGAATGCAAGCACTTTTCCCTTAATTTGAACAAGAATTCTTAAAGCTTAAAAATAATGTTACTACCGGAAATTACTTAGAGCAATAGAATTGGCATTAAATTCAAGGAAATTTAACTTAAATTAACCTATTTTCCTCAGACTAACTTGTCGAACTCAGCAAGCTCCTTTTCCAGTAGGAATTCACTCCAACTTTAAGGAATCATTTACTCTTCAGAAAGAAAGGAGTCTTATACTCGAACTTAGATTTCAAAGGTTAATTTAAATTATCCGTTTGAGTTGATATTTAAGCAGTGAAGAAATATGAAAAGCGCCTTGAAATTGGATCCATAGAGAATTGCCACACTAATAAGCCTTAACATAAGCTCAGTAACCTCTATGGCAAATTCTTCTAGTTTGGAATGGCCCCCAGGATTAGTGAAGCTAAAGCAAGACTACAGAGGGAAACTGACGCACTGCGTGGAGGTTCCTTAACTGGGCTGTGCCACTGACATGAAGCTTAGGCATTTTAACACAATGAAGGGTTTGTTAACCAATGCAGGGACTATTGATTGGTGGCTGACTAAGAGGTCTCGGAGCTCACGACCACACCTCCAAGTCTGTCTGAGTGCACATGAGATTTCACTACTCTGACATGGCAGGGTCGTGCACTCTACAAGTCGATCCACATGTTTTTTGCGCAACATTGGCGTGATTTGTGCACTTATTTATTTGGACATGCATTCTTTTAACGATCCAACTAAGCACGGTACTTTCTCTTCACTAAGTCCCAGTATATGGGGGGGGGGGATAACGCTACAAGGATGTACAGAGAAATCTCATTCCCACTCCACCAGTCTGGAAGATGCGGCTGCATAGGCGAAAGCTGCTACGTATCTTAGCTCTAATTGTATTGCAGCGTGGGTGAAGTTAGAATTATCCATTAGACCCACATTGGGCAAGAGTGTACTAGAACTGTTTTTACTATCTGAATTCCTAGCATTTCTGCATCTATAAGGATGGGAAAAAGCTTTAATGTATGCCTTCTATTATATAGTAAGAGTTAAATACAGCTTAAACGCCTTGCAGGTGTCAATTAAGATCAAGGCATCACAGGAGAATTCGAAGGATAGAATTCACAAATGATCTATTATTTCTGGTCAAGGTTATCGTATGGAAGAATTTGACAAACTATTAATGACTATAAATTCCAAACTCGAGAAGATCTTACAATGTTAAATGCAATTTGTTTCCGATTAATATAATATGCAAAACTATGACAATCTCAGATTAAATTCACTAACATTCGTTCAGTTAGTATTATCAATGGAAGTTATCCCATTAAAAAGTAACTCTCAATAAATTTATAAAATGCTTAAATGGAAGAGGGGCGACCCATTATTCCCAGTATATGGCAAAGTGAAGACTGAGTAAATTAAGGAGCAATGCATTGATTAAGGGTTCGAACTACACTATCGTTCTCAATAGCCGCGGCCACTCGTTCCTTATCCGCCAGCTGTTTGTTGATATCCAACTCTGATTCATGCATTCCCGGAGCAATCGTTACGCAGATCTACAAAGTAAGCAAAAGGATGCGATGACGTCATTTCTCATCTCCTTTATTTCCTATGGTATTGTTCATCGAATTTCACCCATTTCTACCCCTCCGCCGTCAAACAGTTAATTTTATGTTACCTCGTGAAGAAAGTTTCACCCCTTCATCAAAGCACCACTTTCAGCTTACTCCCACCGCCCAATTTTTTGCCTAATAGAGGTATCAAAGAGAATTAAAATGTCCAAATTGTTAATCTTTCCCCTGACAATATTGGCATTTACTTTTACCAATTAATATTGGAAATAATTTCTATGGAAATGTTTCTTCCGAAACAATGAAATAACAATGCAAATAGAGTTCAATTGCGACTGAATGTCTCTCCTCATCTCCATTTTTGCGATTTTATTGTGAAAGCTTTTAGGCTTTTCGCGAAAATGACATTATTTCGATGACGAAGACGAGATCGTATTCCCACGCATTTCAAGGCAGTTTGTACAATTTTGTATCAGTTCTCAGTCACAGTGAAATTGGCTAACTTGTAGAAGTTGGGATTCTGGAGATGAATTGAATAGGAAAGATCCGATATTTCGGTTTCCACTTTCATAGAGTTTGAAAACAGCTCTTTAAGCAGCACACGACCTCCTCACAGTTTCCTTGGTAAAACTGTGATATCTCTGACATTTTTTAGCAATGAGTTCATATTTCTCATTACATGAGTATCCATTTGTAAATATTTAAATTTCGATATTTTTCCAAAAATAGCCCGAAATGTTTCGGTTGCCGCCATGAAATTGACTATCAAGTTCGTCACGATGCACAAAAAATGACTAAAAATACTTCATGACTATTTGACCAGATTTGGACTCTTTGGGTCTCGATCGATTGGACGATCTAAAATTTCTGAAACCGATCACCCACTTAGTTGGCGTAAAATCGTATGTGACTGAGATGGCAGAAACGAAAATCAGTTCGAAGAAGATGAAATGGATCAAAGATGCATAGTAGTAGAAACCCCATTTTATGTGTTACACGAACAGTCATAAACAAGAGGAGGCGAAAGATATGCTATTAAACTGGATGGAAAAGTTCCGAAGAAAAAAAAACCAATGGAAAGAAAAATTGACATCAATTATCTAAAAAGGAAGAAGCCAAAAAGAATACAGAAACAATAGAAAGACTTCAAGAGAATACAAAGGACAGGGAAGATGTTGATAATGAAAAAATGGTGGTATACAAATTCTAAAATCTTTCTTTCTTAACGTCAATAATAGCATATTTTAGGATTTCTCGCCTTTATATTGAAAATAATTTTTATGAAACTTTTTCCCAACTAGCGCAATAACCCTGTCCTTACACTCTGTAAAGTGGGTCAGGGCCTTAACCATCGTTGGCTTTAAGACATTCACCCCGAAGTACAAATTCGTATAAAATAATAATAACAAAGCTAAGTCCGTGAAATTCGGAGTACATTTCGCATTCAATCGTCTCAATTTAAGCAAATTTGCACCCTATTGTATGGACATCTCTTCGTGAATAGAAGTTACGAAAGTTTTTAATCATGACATGGAAAATAAACTAACATTCATTTCGCCAAGCAAAGAGGCTTAATATTATCAGAATTACATACCTTGAAACGACGCGGTAGAGACCTCAGAAGTTTGACCTTGATAGAGAGACCGATCAGAGTGGCCATACTGCAATGGGGTATTGTAGGAGTAAATTGGACTGTAACCATGGAGGCAGCATCATCTACAGAAATATCCTCCTTTCTAACTACACCCAGTGCCTCCAAACTGTGCGGATGTTCAGGATCTCGGATATCACGAATGTGTTCTAAAGTTGAGATGAGGTCAGAAATATTATAGCTATTTTACAATTCAGCCATAGTATTGGCATACCAAATATCTCTTCAACAGAAATAGGTTCTCTGTCATTAGAAGTCGCTGGTTTGAACTGAACCCCAACTCGATTATTATCGATCGGGTGTAGCTGAGGCGCTGCGTTTTGTAGAATTTCCATTCCTTTCTATATATGTGGTGAAAATTGACACATCAGACCAAACAACCTTCGCTTAAAACGATAAATGAGAAGACCATGCTTAGAAAATCATTTATTATTTCAAGGCTCCACATTATCAAACACCGCATGGGATGTAAAACTCTTTTAAGAATCATTCACCGAATTAGCTGCGAACTTTCGCTTTGCGTAATTTCTTCTCGACTTCGTCTAATTGATCATTCACCTAAAATCAGGAACGAAAAGAATAAAAAGAATCACAATTAAAATTACTTATATTTAAATAGACAACACACCTCACGCAACTTCTCTAAATGGAGCATAAAGTACTCCGAATAGCGTCTATCAGCTTTCATATCTGCAACGTGAATCATGTCACCATCAACATAGAAGTCCGTGTCACAACGGAGTTGAAGTGTGCCTTCAAGACTTCCACAAGTACCTTCTGTACAAGTCAGATTCTTCAACTGATGTTTGAAACACATCAAAAGAGAATGCACAGCTTCATGATTCTAAAAGAATTATGTTAGCCCATACCCAGAACTATTATACTTTTAAAAGAAGAAAGCGACTTACTTCATTCAAAAGGTGGCTCAGTTTGTCAACAGGAAGAGAAGTATAGAGCTTGAGGAAAGATCGCAAACGGAGAAGATCAATTCTGTGATTGTCAAGCTCATATCGGAAGATAGCGCCCTGGTGACGTTGAGCGTCAAGAGCATAATCAGTACGTTCAATTGCCATGGCATCGGGATTAATGAATCGCGGACATCCAAGGTCGAAGCAAAGAGTAAACTCATCCCTATTACTGCAAAAAATTGAAAGTAGATAAATTAAATTAGTGCATATGGTCCAAAGTCGACATGCAAATTATAAGTATACTTACGTCCCCTCCATGCGAATGAGACTTTCTGAGAACTTCTCCTTGAGCTGTTGCTCTAAGGACTGATCAATAGGAACAGGATTAATAGTTATACAGATGGCCAGAAGACTAGTCATTTGATCAGCTTGTTTAGTGACATAATCTCTTAAATCACTACGCTGAGGCAAGCATGGAGATACCCGATTTAAATAGATTAGAGTATGAGTGAAGGTTCGAATAGCATCTTGATAACGACGCAACATGAGATAAGCAAAGCCAACGTAGTAACCGGTTGTGATGTGACACGTTGGGACTTCATGATACATTTCCTGTTGCCGAAGCTGAACGGGTTCTAACATTTTCAAGGCGGTGAAGTAATCTCCAAGGAGACAATGAACGCGGCACAGACCAACAAGACTGAAAAATCCCAACATCTTGTAGAGATCACAGGAGCCAAAAGGACCAGCAACTTCTTTTGGATCACCTATAATTTGTCGAAAAGATGTCGAATTAACATCGGACCAACAAATAAATATAGTTATTATAGAATTTTATGGACATACGTCTCATGGCATAGTAATTCAACTGCAGATTAATATTCGACTTCTTTACGAGCTGGAAGAGAATACTGAGAACACCATGGATACTCCATGTTTTGGGATTCAACCTCATAAAGGCATCATCCTCAGGTTTTCGCTTGAGCTTACTTCGATAAGTTGCGAATTTTTGAAATTGGTAGATAAATTCATCAATGATGTCCCAAAGCCACTGAATTGGAAGATCAAGTTTAACTGGATTCTTTGGTTCTAAATTAAAAAGAAAGGAACACAAATTTATTTATCCGTTTACAATGACGTTCAATTAGCACATAATATAGGACATTTACTCAACAAAGCTTCGAAGAAAGAACAATAATTAAGATATGACTGATGCGCATCCTCCATATCAGGAAAAGCGGTCACACGAGCATACAAATGACGATAATACAATTCGTTATACAGCGTCATGAAGATGGTATCTAATTAAAATTAACTCATCTTAATGCAAATTACCCCTGTTGCATAATGGAGCAATATAATCAACTGCGGGCCAACGGGTGCTCTTGAAATACTGATCCGTAAGTTTTGGAAATCTAAGGGAATGAAACTAATATAAAAGTTAATTACTTGACTGCATAGTCATTTTCAATTTCCTTGGAATCGTTACTCTTGACGTGCTTATAGAAAGACTTAATAAAACTTTTTACGTCGTCACCTAAGCTTTTATATGCGTCGTCTCGACTCTTGGAAGACATACCTTCGCATACCTAAGATAATAGAAAAAAGGAGATTTCACACATACTCTGTTATCTCGTGAACTGGCCATTTCGATGAAGTTGGAATGATGCGCAAACCACGATAAAAACACTAAACAAAACCAATTCTTCTGTTACTTGTTTCAACAAATAAATGTTAAACACAATATCAATATGAAAAATAAATAAATTACTTTAAGGAAATAAAAAACATCATGTAGTGACCTGTATTCATTTAAAAAATGGAATATAAATAAATTTAAAAGGGTTTTTCTGATTTTATTATTATTTTCAACGCTGTAATTAAGTTGGACACCCATACCAAATGTTTGCATTGTTTAGTTAGTTTATTTCAATTTTACGGTATTCGAGTTTTCGATCCTAATGGTTCTTGGTGAAAAGAGTGATGGCCGTATAGACAGGGAAAAAACGTGTCCCTTACTACTTCGAATATTCGTTAATCAAATTTATCACAATAGAATTAAAGATTACTCTCATAAATCGTTTCCTTCTAATGAATTAAGGGCGTATACTTGGTATGGTTTTTCTCAGATGTAATTCATTATTTAGGCTGGACGCAACTCTGCATGAATTGTCCGAACTCATCAAATCCGTCCACATGGATGCACAAAAATCAGGCACTATCTTTGAATTTGCTATTGTCTCTCCTGACCCAGATAAACCATTTTACCGAATGCGTAATATTGGCAGTATATGCTCTGGTTTCCCTGCTGATTCTGATAAGATTATGCTTAAGGTCAGTGTTATTTCTTCTAGGAATATTTTATACGCATAGTCTGCATGAAGATTTCCCCTGTGGTCGGACGATTGCGGTTTTTTCTGTATTCATTTAAAATTCATCTTATTAGAATGAATGGTTGTACTCAAGTTGAATACCTTTTGTTTGATTTACCAAGTTTTTTTTCCTATTAGGGTGGATATATGTTTTCTTTAATTTAGCCTAGTTAACATATGATATGATCTCGATATTGTTAGCATTTTTCTAGTAGTCCTTTATAGGCTCCGATAACATTAGTTATCGTAATTTATCTTCATTTGGCTCATAAAGCGGTGGTAAACGTGCCTTTGTTTCTTATAGGATTGCACTTTTCGCATTGGTGATATGCTCGATGTTGCCGTTACGCCGCCTCCAATGAATCCACCAATGCCTGCCAACGCCTCTGTGAATTCCGCGAACAAAGGTCGAGTCTTTCGTCGGAACGACGATCTCCCCATGGCATCATCCCAACAATCCTCTAGAAAAATGGGTGGAGGTGGAGGTAGAGATAGATTTCATCCCTATAGCAATAATGACTCACGTCAACGACGCAATTTCATGTAAACGGAATTTTGAATATTGGGTGCTTACATACGGAAGATTGTGTCAGTTGTTTGGTTCCAGTTTTATGTAAATTGCCAGGGAGATGAATGTTCACAGTCTGTATATATTATTTGCGTGTGTGTATTTGAAATAAATTTGTCATTTTGGATTACTATTTTTATCGTGTTTTGTGATTGCTCCATCGCTCCATTCCTAGGTATGATTTTGCTTTTATTATTTGACTAAAATTTTCCTTTGTTTCTTTGTTTTGTTCTTAAAGTTTGAACTTGACTTAACCTTAGGGCTGGGATTTACGTATTTAAAGCTGGAATTGATGTCCTTCGCCACGTTAGCCCTGACGGTTTTGTCAAACCATAGACCTCTTTGACGTATTGATCAATTTACCCTAGCCATGACTTTTTGCGAGTTTGCCTTTAAGTTTCCTTAAAATACGAGAGCACCTAGCCTTTTACAAGTCCTATAATGTCATCTTTAATGCTGACACCGGCTCGGTAAGCAATGGGACATACGTTCTTCGAAATTGTAATTGGTTGGGGTTTCTCTGGCTCTTTTCATAAGGTAAGAAAGTTCCCAAAATTCCTGCTTAATTGTTTTTACATTTCAATTAAATGGTTTTGTTATTGCACTGCTACTTACCCCGATTTTGGTGCTAATGTTGCTTAAGTGAATGTTTCGAGCAAAATGTCTTTTAGTGTTGTATCAACATTCTGATGGAGGTCTAGAGAATGGGTGGCTTGTTCGACGAACTCTAGAACTATTGAAATCTTGATTCGTTTGAGGACTACTGAAATAAACTTCGTCTTTTTTTAAGTTTCAGTTTCTATGATATTCAGTATTGACTACCCAAGGTGAGATACCAAGTCCTCCTTTGATTTTGATTAGGATGTTGAATGGAGTACTCGGCAATTCTGCCGATTGAAAAATAGACAACTTAAAAGTAATTTCAGATCGGTTTAGGGAATATTCGGAATGTCAGCTCCCTCAAATTCGCCATTAGGTTAATTTGACAAGGATATCTAGCTATTATCTGAACTCCTTGAGCTTGCCAGACATTGGTAGTACAAAAGTAATAAGCGATCACTTCTTGAAGCCAACTTAATGGAAATTTGATAGCTTTGTTGAATTTTAGGACAGCTTCGCCTTTTGTCTCCTAAGCGGTTGTTCCAAACTTGTAAAATAATAACTAAACGAATTTTATCGTCATAACAATTTTGTGATGATACATTGAGGTGGAACTCGCTAATCTGTAAAGAGAAAACGACAAACTATTAAATAATTTGAAATGGCTGGCCCTACCTTGTTTGGAGGGATATTTTCTCTGTCATATGGAGTGCGCATCACTGCAATGGCTGAACAAAGAAATCTCATACGCACGCAGACAAGGAGTTGCGGCTGTACTCCGCGTCGCGTAGGAAGAAAGTGCGGTCGTGGGCACAGAGACCTCCCAGTCAGCCATTAATCTATGGTCTCTGCAATAATTGACAAACCCTTTATTTTATTTTAATTACTAAGCTCTCTGACAGTCATAAAGCCCAATGAGCTTGCTTCACACCGTATGTCTGTTTCCCCTGTGCTGTTGAGGTGGTCTTGCCATAGAGATTACTGAGCATAAGTCAGGGCTTTTTAGTGTAGTGTGTCAGTTGTTTATGCTCGAATCTTCACAAAATCTCCGTCTTGTTGTTATGGGCAGATTGGCTTTGGAAAAGTTTTGAGAACGCCTGAGGGAGTGGAAAGCACATTAATTGCTTTATTGGCTGTTGTCTTGAATTCATAGATGACTGCGTTGAAAATTTTGAAAATCATGTCTATTCTACTTTGTTGTGATACTAGGCAGCATAGTTTATGCCTCTATGACTAAAATTCGTGGTTGTGGTGTGGCCCTCAATTATCTTTCAATAACATCAGATGATTTCAGAAGGGGCGAAAATGTTGATTTTTAATTGCTCACGACTTACTTGACCATCATAAGTAGGCTCTCCTGCATTAAAATACCCTAAATGCCTTAGAGCAGTTTCTATCGGTTTAAAATGTGATAAAAAATCATATTGGCAAGCACTCAGGTACCTCGCGAGACGATCAGTTTAACTTTAATGACGGGGAAAGCCACCAGAACGAACCACAAATTCGTAGATAAAAATACAGTCATTAATTCATCAGTTGCAAAAAAATGAAAATCTTATTTCATCGAATGAATGCACATTCAAAAATTCTAGATTATCCTATAGTACTACTGAAATTTATTTTAGTAGTACATATGTTAAAAGATTCAAATCTATATTCTCATCACCATCTTTATAGCTCATTAGTTATGATATCTTTAATATCTTACTTAAGTTACAGAGTGAGATAAAATTCGAATTTCCAGAAATAAATACAAGTAATACATCGTGTATATTGCAGCAGATATGGATGAGTTTGATAGGAACAAGCTTATTAATGAATATGCAATTGACATTCATGGGGATTATTAACGGAATTTCAATTAGCGTGCTTTTCATTAATAATAATCTTTTATGAAGCATAAAGAAACAATGCTTCAAATGATGAAGCTATAATACTATTTTCTCTCACGAGAAAAGATGCTGACACTTCTAGGTCATCTGTGGATTTGGTGTGACCTGTTGTGGCTATCGAACAAAAAAGCGCATTTCCAAACATTGACAATTTCCCTAGAAGTTTATTTAGCCACAGATATCTATAACAGCCGAGTCCTTTAGCAGAAAATGTCGCTTACATAATGAGCTAGACTGTGTTCAAGGTAGTGAGAATACAGAGTAACTAGAGTGAAGAAAGCAAAACAAGACAAATGATTAAATGCATTTCACATGAAGGAATATCAATAGGTCATTATTTGATAAGGCATCTGCGCGTTGGGTGCAGTTATTCATAATGCGATCTATGGTACGACCACACTTTCCCGAAAGCTCTAGCACGTGAGTTTACTTTGCCCGGCCATGGTATCAATATGCGTACTATGTCAACAGTTTAATAGAGAATCAAAGATAAAGGGGAGTAGGATCATGTGTCTTCAAACAGGTATATGATAAAAGTTTTTATATCAAATACACTTTCGATCGCAGTGCTCTCAAATTGGTTAGCATTTGCCATGAGTTACTACATTCGGTACCAAACTATTAAGTGCTTTCATACAGTGGATCCATACGATGAAATGGTCATCTTGGGAGTTTCTTGGTGAATACATTGAAACATGATATGAAACAAAATAGCTAATATTTTAAGTTGCCTGCGTTAGAATTATAAACATATATTACTTCGACCAGCCACTATCAATCTAAATAAGGCGAAATGTGAGCCACGAATTATCAATTCGAATAATGCCTAATTCCTACGTCTTTGATGCGAATATCATTGCAATTATACTTTCCTCAATTAATAAAGACAGTAGAGGTTTTGGTTAGTCTATGGGACACATTATCGCTGCATGTCTGCACGCCAGGATTGGGAGGTGCGGCCGTACAACTCTGTGTGCAACGACGTACAAACAATGACCAATCATCGACCTCTGTTTAACCTAATCCCCCAACCTGATCATGATTAAGCTCTCTGCGCATACACTTTGCTCACAAGTTACTTACTGGGTGAATGTGCTTCGTGCTGTACGTCTTTTTCCTACATAGCTTGGCTATAGCTTAGCTGGTTCTGGGAGTCTAGCTAGATGTTTGAGAATCTGCCATGGAGATTTCTGAGTCGGTCTGGCTTTACTAAGGTAGCAATCCGCTACAAGTCTTTAACCAAGTTTAGTAAATTGTCATTTAAGCAGACACGTCTTGTAAAGCATCGAGAAAAGCGTCAGAGTAAATTCTCAATAAGTTTAAAGAATGAAGAAGACGATAAGACAAATTTGTCTATTTATGCACTACCAATAACATATCTCATGAAGTTCATTCACAGACTCGGCCTTTGTCAACTCCCCGCTGGCACCAGTGCGTGCACTTGGGTGGTCTTATCCGGTTTAAACGGAAATATGACTGTGAAAATACGAGACACATGTAGTTACCTGTCTTGAAATTACGACTCCTGACAAGACTTGGGCTAAAGAATTGATTCAATTGGTGAAAATTGTCAGCTTTGTACTGGTCAATTCAAGTACAAATGAATATTCTTTTTTCCTTTTTAATTTAGATTAGACTGTAAGTCACTACACTCTTGGGCTCTTGAAAATATTTTACCTCGGGAAAAGCACACCCAATGTCCGTATATTGGAACATAGAAATTTTACATTCGTAGTTGCCGTGTTGGCAACTCGAAAATATAACAGCAATTACAAAATATGAATTAGTATTTTATAACAAATGGCAGGCATTTTGATAGTTTCATTAGCCATTTAGGTGATTTCAGGCTTCACAGAGGAGAAATATCAAAGTGAAAAAAATTCGAGAGAGAGGGGGAGAACAGAAGAGTGTTTCAAAGATGTAAAAACGNGGGGGGGGGGAGGGAAAGAAGAGTGTTTCAGAGGTGTAAAAGAGACAGACACAAAGTTAGAAAAAAGGTGAGGTGAGTACTGTGGAAGTAGTCGAATATGGCATACAGTGGGGTGATTGTAGTTTAAAGTCAGAAGTCAACTACCGGTTTATAGACTTTTTTGGCGTATGAGTATATACGTTGCCCAGGGTGCACCACGTGGAGGTAAGTCTATCCCACACCCCGAATTAGAAATATAGAAGCATGGAATGAGGAGTAAAGGGAGTTTTGAGTGGGAGTTATCATGAGGGCCGGATGTCAAGAGACCTGCATTTTTTTCATTTAGTTTCAACGAGTTGTCTACCTTCCATTACGAGGTAAAGTACAGTTAATTATGTCTAAAAGTTCCAAGTTGTGGTGACTTCAATGATTGATTAGCTGAAATGTTTCAGTCCACGTCACAATTAGCTGACAATTAATTTCTCCAGTACTCATCCTAATTAATTAGCAATACCAGGAAAAGGAATTGTGAAAATAAAAGATAGTCTTCAAGTTATAGTACATGGAAAAAATCTCATTGATCGTCTATTTAATGTTTCTTTTTTTCTGCATTACAAAATATCAGATTTGTATTAACATGCAACGAGACCTACTTTCTCTCCATTCCTTTTTTTCGTAGATGAAGTTGGAATTCTGAACCAGGGTAGTGAAAGCTATCATCTGGTTACGGTATTCAATAAGATCCTTTGAATGTTAGATTTCTTCCATAAGGCATGTTGTCTCTGACGGGAATTTTCTCGAGGATCTCATTAAAGTTAGCACTATTGCAATTTTATTTAATCATGCGTTCATGCAACGACTGCGCCTAACACGCATTTTGCCTTTCAAAACAAAATTTGATTTTCGTGCAACGAACGCATAACAATAGCAAAAATAGAATCCCGATAGTTGTTTGAAAAGGTCAAAGCAATTCCTAAACTTACCGACCACAGTGGGTGCGTAAATCATTTCACGCAATGCATGCTATATGGCTAATTATCTCTTGAACCACTGCAATTTTTCTTAATCGGTGCATAGAGATCTTAGTTGGACATAAAAAAATGTGTAGGGAATTTTGAGGCCATAGCGCCAACAGATAAAGGCTCCTTCACACGCATTTTTCGGTCAATTATAAATAAGCACCACAATCTATGGAAGGACATTGCAAGAATAAACGAAAAACCCGAAACTCTGGAAAAATTCATGTTTGGAGATTATTTACTGTCAATCTGTTGCATTTTTTGACGCGGAAAACGATACCAATTTAAAATGAAAAAATTAAACAAAGGCAGCTTTTGTTTTGAGAAGCAGAAGTTCACTTAGGTACATAAGACTTAAGAACATTAAGTGTGTGTCGGGGATGTTGTTGCTCATTCAACTTCTTTTGACTGTGACCACACAAACATGGACGAATAAAAACTGGACAAACGTTAATTCATTAGAACTGTAAACATTTGTGAGGAAAGTGAGGATAAATATTTATTGGATTGTTGGTGACAGGGCCAAAAAGAACATTTTTTTTAAAATTAGAACGTCTTCTCAGCTCCCTCTCCCCTTGTGTGATGTGTGATGCCCTCTTGTCGCGCTTTTCTTACTTACCTGTTGCGCACATCTAGGTGTCTATTGCATATTTTTCCTGCGTGAACGTAGCAAATAGTTGACACCTCATCAGGTCCTGACTGAACTATAAATATGCTCCCTTTGAATATATACATGCTTCATCCATTATTCATTATCACTATATTCGTTATCGCACAAATTCTCATCCGCTTATAGTCTTCACTCCTTTGGCAATAACCTCTGCTCACCACTACCTCGTCGTCTTTACTCTCTTGTCGTAATGAAGATTGGAGGAAGATAGAGTTTATCAGCTGCTTGCGATTAACTAGATACTTAACTGCTTAGTGCTTGCTTCTAAAATACAATGCACTGAGGACTTTGAGGATGCATAACTCCCTTCATTGGCTCATGCAGACAGTGTCATACAATCCTGATTCTCTTTTTTTCGCCTAAATCCAAAATAATAGGCCTTTCGGTGAAGCATTGGGTGATTTTCCCGAGAAATGGGTTTATAAACCCGATTGATTGCTTGACACCCAGTAAACAATGTCACTTTATATAATTTATACCGAATCTTAAGTCAATATGAAAATCACCGTTATGTAACCTTTGAAAAGGAACAAGTAGGTTATATTGAGGTATACAATTATATTATTCACGTCAGTCGTAGATTATTTCAAATTGGGTTGAGCCCTCGCCCTTCTCAAAATCTACTTTAATATTCTTGGCAATGAGCCAACAGCGCACTCGGATGAAAGTGTTCCTTTTAACCCCATCAAATAAAACAAATACAAGAGGTTGGAGATAGGCCAATTGATTTTTGTAGGGAAAGAACATTGAATGGAAGCTCCCGTTTGTCAATTTGCCCGGATTCTTAGCCGGAGCGATGGCAGAGAATTTGAAATCCATGTCGTAGTAGCGAATGACACCGAGATTATAAGTATCATCTTCAGTGACTCCTGAACACTTGACGAGTACTCCAGTCGCGAACTCGTCGATGGGATCTGGCAGCCAACCGTAAATACGACCCATTTTAAGCACAAAACATGCCTGTGCTGTATCGAAACCGAAACTGGAATAATTGAAAGCAAAAAGCATTAACTATCATCTTACTCGATAAATATCTCTCCTTACAAATAATATATAACCTATAATTTTTAACAATTAATCCTAAATAACCTTAACGACCAACAGTATCACTGTTAGTATTTAAATATCACGAAGTAATTTTTTAAATTATTATTTGAATTCTGAAAGACGATGCTCTAGTTCCTCTTTCTCAATATCTAAATCTATATTTAAGATAAAACAATACTAAATTTGAATCCATCAAAGAAATCCACTCTTCGCATTATTTAAATTTTTTAAAGTGAAAAGAAAAGATTCCTTAGATTGCTCGTTAAATCCACGAAAAAAGGAATATCTTGAATTGATGATTCAATGTATATTGCAGAGGTAGTTATATCACTATTGGGCAAGTGAGTAACTCAATGACTCCGAGACTTTTGAATTCCTGAATTCATAGTGTTCAACTCATTATTTCTATTCTGCTTGTTCAGGTTCACTTTCATGTTAGTACCGAAAAGAATTAAATACAAAACATCCCATTTTGTTTGTGTATCAGGAGTCTCTATTAGTTCTCCTTCTTTCGAACCAACACGGAACCAGCAAGCTGATCACCACTCTCCTCTGCCCTTTCAGTATAATCTGCTTCGGTGGAGATCTGTAAACGAATGTTACTTCTATTCAATCATTTGAGATTTCGCTGAAATTTATGCTAAGATTAAATAATTGAATGTCCTTAAATTCCACAATCAGTAGTACTTCCTGTACTGGAATCATCTATCCAAACAAAGTGGGAAAAAATAAACTTTACCTTCATGTTGATATTGTAATAGTGGCAATTAACTTGCTTTGAGGTTCAGAATAAGCAATATTCAAATGAACCAACAATTTTAAAAAATCGGTATTAAAATCATACCCGTTCATGATGTTGCATGGTCCACCGGCATTAAGATCATAGGTACACGGTCTTTCGGGATCCTGTTTGACACCTCCCTCCTGAACACAGTCCTCCAATTCTGTAGAACCTGTGTTGTCCTGATAAGCATGCAAAAATGCCGCTAATTCATCGGATTTTCGGTAGTAGGGCAGTGGTTCACGAGTTCGAAAGTAGAGAAGCGTTGAAAAGATATCAGGGTTGGGGATGTGGCTGAGACCTGGATTCATCTGCAACGCTGACTGCATGCCGGTAAGAGCGGGGTGGTCACGAGGCACCTGTTGTGACAAAGTTTATTTAGAGCAGTTCAATTATTTATTTAGTTATATCAAATGGCAGGCGTTTTGATAGTTATCATTAGCCCATTAGCTGACGTCGGGCTTCAAGAGGGGATGACCATCAACGTTCGAAAAATCCGAGAGGGGTAGGGGGGACAGAAAGAAAGAAATTACTAAGATGACATTATTAATAGAAACAATAAAATAAAACTTCTTATCGTTTTTATACAGCAAAGCAATTTTACTTTCAAAATACTAATTAACGAATGTGGGTAAGGGAGAAGAGGATCAATCAGAGGTGGCGTGAAAATAACACAATTTCTTTAATATTTGAGCTAATATATGTGATTCATTCCGACTAGTGGACGAATGAGCCTTGACTAAATTTCAACAGTCTTCTATGGTAAAATCACATTTTATAAAATTATTTCCGAAAGTCGATCGGCTACCTCAGCCGTATCGAGAGAGCAGAACGCTTATTGGTAATCTTGTTTATGACGACTTGTGCCCTCTGACACAAGGCTATATCGCTGATTAAGTGAAAGGTCTCTATTCTCACGACTACACGATCAGCGGCACCAGGACCTAGGAGATCCATTTGATAAGCTTTGGGATAGTTTATTATTCCAACTATTCGAATATTCTAGAAGTGAGTGTAACAAATTCCAAGGTCATTGAAGAAGTTGACGTTCAGAGATTACTAGCGGTTATGCTATGTCATTTGTAATTATGGAAAAAAGAGTACAGACCATAATTATGAAGATCTTTTTAGCATGTGAAATTCGAAATACCTCGCGATAAGCTGACACGTAAATGCTATCAGCCTAATAATCACTTTTAATAATTATGGCCTTCCTTCTTTTCACATACCCTGATGCTATTATTCATTGACAAATCAGTGGAATAATCTCTCTAGGCTCTAGTTCATATCTGGATCCTAGCATTTTATGCCGAATCCTTCTATTCGGCTTTTTTAAAGTAGCTATATTTTCGACATATTCACTAGCTACCTCCAGAATTTCTGCATAAATGTAAAAACATCCTATTTGCAATAAATTCATTTATCAATATTTTGAAATATATTTTATGGGCCTGAGCCAAATAGTATTTAAGTGCGCTAGACTCGCACAGTACAAAGTGAACTACTTGCACCCACGTGAAAAGATTAATGTCGAGAAAGTTCCTCGTAGTTTCATTTTCTCGCAAGCCGACAACAAGTCTGTTGTGAATATATGAAGTCTTTCATTAATATTTGATATTCTTTCAAGATGTTATGGTTTGACTAGAAGCGAATTTACTTTATAAGTGTTTCCTTGTTCATTAACTTGGATATCCTCATTAAAGCAAAGATAGCACTTTTTAGACCTAACAAATATGAGAAATAACCTTCTCATATAATTGACTGAACTCTCCCTCCGTAAAATTACAAATTGGCGTTTTCTTAATTTATTATTCCCAAATCAGCTGTGAGAGTTGAAAAGTCAATTTAGCAAGTAGTCAGTTACACGAAAAACCCATCAACTGTTAACCACTTTCATAACTTATGACTGTCATGACACTATTAACTTTGATGACTTAATGAAGCTTTTGTCGAAATGCCATACCTGACCAACCCCTAATGTCCAGACATCCGGTTTGTGTTTTGAGAAAATATTCGCCGAATTCCTTTCACTGACTCCTTATTCTCCACTTACCTTTCAACCCAACTTTACACAATTTACCAAGACTGATTATTCAAGAAATTTTACATTAAATTCCATAATCTGGATAGCTTAACTACATTTGAGATTGCAATTGTGTCGATACATTTTGAGGAGGTACTATTTGATTAATCAGCTGTGAAATCTTTTCTCTAAGACAGAGACCCTGTAGCTTCTACCGATTCTCAAATTTCATGATTTTTCTAGTACTCTCAATTTTGCCAAGCCATTCTTTGCTCGAGGCGTTGGTGCTCCTCATATTTTGAGCAATTTTAGTACCATTTAATAGAAATTGATGGGAGATATCTTTCCGCTTGTAGAATAGCACCCCCAGCAATGCATAATGCTGTGAAAGATTTGTGACATTAATACGAAACTCCCCTAGTTTATAGACAACAGAATTAATTGTACTTTGGAGAGGGATCTACAGAAATTCATTTGCTCGAAAAGATTAGTGATACTTGGTTGACTAGAATGTTTTGATGAATTGTTATTTCAAATGAAAGGTGTGAAATTTAGAATAAAAACACCATTTTTCAAATATTATTTATAAGCAGTATCAATGGCTTTACTAGATAAATTTAATTATAAATATTCATATTTTGAAAGTTCGCAGTAAAATAGAAGCCTAAGCTTACCTGAAAATACAAATACCAGTTGAGGTATCCCACGAACCCAAGTCCGAGAATAGTATAGAAGACCAAGAAGTAAAGAAACCGCTGACAAATCGCCTTTACCGAATCTACCTCTTCTGTCCTATTTCTTGGACATCTACGCTGCCGAGGATAGGCATATACGGTAGTATTCTTGAGTAAGAAGGCCTGTAGGGGCTCAAATTCTTCTTCGTGTGAATTTACAGAGCGGGGACGAGATCTGACGGACATATTTATTGAGCTGGTAAGCAGTCAGGTAATGGAAATGCTGTCTTTGTAGTTGCTGCACAAATCCGGTAACATGGCTTCGCGCGTGCAGGTCCGCCTATTGGCTCTTCTTCCAACCACTGAGTAGCTACGTTAAATAGTGTTAGACTTTGAACTATCTTAAACCATGCAGGGGAGGTATTGCCAAAAGGAATCGGTATTGAAATTCAGTCATTTAAGTAGAAACTTCTGGTTCGAAACAATTTTATGTCAATAAAGCTTAAACGCAGACTGGTAATTGAGTTAAGTCAATGACAACGTGTGCAACTGAGTCCGTAAATGAAACTTCTAACACTATTGACACTAAAATGACTTAAACAATTCCTATATTTTCCATAATTTTACCAGCAGATATAATGGCGAAATTTCTCCGCAAACAGGGAGAAATTAAAGATGAGTGGTAATAGGTTAAAAATATATTAAAAAAACATAACTTGTACTGAAACCAGTTAGTGTTACCACTAAATACTGGCCCTATATATCCACCTCGGAGTTAATTCAACTGTAATCTCAGACTACAATTCTGAGATGTTAAAGTCCGCATATTTCACACATGCTTACTTAGCAAATACTATTTAAATGAGTAGACGTTTTCTTCATACGAGGGACCATTAAAGCTTATTCAACGCGGATAGAGATTGTTGCCAGATTTAACGGTCAGTGTCAGGAACAGCGTACGTTCGAAAGATGAGAGAGCTTAGTAACTATGAGGTCACTTGCAGGAATTAATCTTCTCTAGATAAAAGTGATGATAATCTTCGTTGTTTCTTTCAACATTCTTTAAGACATGTTTATTTAGTCTCGACGCCTATGCATAACCGAAATAGCAAGAATGCTTTATTTTTTACATGTAACTAGAACAATCAATAAGGAATGGCAAAATCTTACAGCTCCGCCATACTAAAGGGGCCATCTTTTTTGGAACTTTGTTCTTACGCCAATTTTCAGCAAACTTCATGATTCTACAAAAGGGGTGTGCGATAGACTTACCTCCACGTGGTGCACTCTGGGCAACGTATACTCATAAGGCAAAAAAGTCTATTAACCGGCAGTTGACTTCTGACTTCAAACTACCATCACCCCACTGTACGTCGTATTCGACTACTTCCACAGTACTCACTTCATCTTTTTTCTACCTTCGTCTTTGAAACTCCCTTCTGTTCCCCCCCCC